CCTCATTCTCTTCCTGGCCCATTTCCTCTGCAGGGACCAATTGCAGGATTCCTTTCCTCATTCTCTTCCCTGTCACCAGTCTGCCTTTACCCAACACTGCTGTTCTAGGGGGTAGCCTTATATCGTCCTCCACCACTATTGTTATAACTTCTTCTGGTGGTTCTCCCAATGGCGTTCTCTTGCCATTTACTATCAACACAGTAGGGTTAAACTCTATACTAGCCTTCTGGCTCTGAAGCCAATCTTCTCCCAAGGAAAATTGTGAAAATGGCCTACCTCGGAAACGCGTTCGAATCTGCGCAGTATGTAAACACTGGTCCTTCCAACTGTAAAAAAGAAAACCAAAATGGCGGCGCCCGCGTTTTATGCCGAGTAGTCTCGGTCAGTTAACGTGAAATCTCGTTGCCTCGTGATTCGCATGCAAATCGTGGTCGGTCCGCAGCTGTATAAAGCAGGCTCGTTTCTGCTGTTTCAAATGAAAGGCTTTCGGCTCGTGAGAAGGTTGGACGTGCGACCCGGTTTTCTTTGTGCCTACCTGCTATCACCAGTTGAATTGTTGAGTTACACACTTCAAGCTATTTCGGCAATGGACAAGTTCGATCTAAAGTTGATCCCAGAATTCGACGGCTCCCCACGGGCCCGACTATCGTTGAATGGTTTGAAAAGGCCGAACGTGTTTGCAGGGTGTCCAAAATAAAGGAACCTGCACTAGTCATCCCACTGAGACTCACGGGAGGAGCCTACGCAGTATATCAACAACTCGGGGACGATGCTGACCTAGAAGAGATCAAGGACGCCCTGTATACGGCCTTTGGAATAGATCCATTCATCGCTTGGAAACAGTTCGTCGGACGACGGCTCGAGCCGGGTGAGACCGTGGATGTTTACCTGGCTGATTTGCGAAGGCTGGCAGTACCGTTTGGCGGAGCAACGGACCGCATACTGGGGTGCGCCTTCCTGGCAGGGCTTCAGACGACACCAGTCGGCTCCTGCGAGCGTCTTCAAGATTGGACACACTGGGAATTGACGAATTGCTAGCCAGGGCCCGAAACATCTTGAAGGACACGGAACAGATCGCGGCAGCCGTGAGAACGCCTGAGACACCGAGGGAGGGCCCAAAGTGCTACAAGTGCGGTGGACCCAACCATTTCTCTAGGGACTGCCGGAGCCGAAGTGACGTAGGAGGGAGCGGCAGGCGGAACCGTGCACGACTACGCTGCTATCGCTGCAAAGAGTTAGGCCATGTAGCACAGGATTGCTCGGGAAACGAGTCCGGGGACAAGGTGCTGTCGCAACCCTTGCCCCCTCTCGGTCAGTAAATGCGGCATTGCCTGTTATCAACGTGTACGTTGAGGGTAAACGATGTTCGGCGCTCGTTGACACTGGATGTTCCCGATCGATCGTTAGCGCGGATCGATGCGTGACATGGAACAGTCAACAAATCGAGATTCGGACGATTGACGGGGTGTCCCGGGCCTGTTGTGGTGTCGGGACTGTGTCAGTCCTAACAGACGGAGGGAGTCATGCCAAAGTCGACGTCTTGGTGGCACGTCAAAGGCCCCTCGGGTACGACCTGCTACTTGGGATTGATGCGATCCGAGCGTTAGGAGGCATGATGATCACGCCAGCCGGAAATGTGGAACTGGGTGAAAGAAGAAAGGTGTGTGCAGCCCTTTGCGTTAGTGAGCCGGATTTCGACGTCTCCTTCAATTCCGACGAGAGAGTGTGGACCGCCAGGTGGAAATGGGCCCAAAAAAGACCCGCCAGTTCAGCTTCGCAACAAGGTCGCTGAGTACAAAGTTCCAGACAGCATCAGAGGAAAATACGAGAAAGAGCTTCGGCAGTGGATTGTGAACGGCTGGCTGATTCCATACCCCAGGAAAGACTGGGACCCCCAAAGGGTCTGATTCCCTTGATGGCAGTCGTGCAGGAGCAGAAACAGAAGGTGCGTCCGGTACTCGATTACCGCGAATTGAACGACTTTGTGGATGCTTTCACTGCCGATGCAGAAGTGTGCGCACATAAGTTGAGAACGTGGCGGCGGCAGGGAGTCAATGTGTCGCTTCTGGATCTGCGGAACGCATATCTTCAGATTCACATCGACGAAGCGCTGTGGCCATTTCAAACGGTTATTTTCAAAGGCCAACGCTTCTGTCTTACGCGGCTAGGATTTGGGCTAAATGTAGCGCCACTCATCATGAAATCCGTTATAGACGCCATCGCATCGCAAGACCGCACAATTGAAAGTGCCACATCAGCATACGTTGATGATATCTTCATTAATGAAAGTTTGGCCTCTGCATCGCGTGTAAGACAACACTTTTCGGATTACGGTTTGGTGTGCAAGGATCCGGTGCGACTGAGAGATGGAGCAAGAGTTCTTGGCTTGCAGGTCTGGGAAGAAAATGGCACCCTCCGATGGAAACGAGGAAGTCAAATTCCGGAAGCCCCTGATGTGTTGACCCGGCGGCGCGTATTTTTCGTTGTGTGGGAAACTTGTTGGACACTTCCCAGTGTGTGGATGGCTCAGGGTGGCAGTTGCATTCGTCAAGCGCCTGGCAACCGCAGCAACCAATGGATGGGATGATAACATCAAAGATCCCCTCTCTGTCGCATACTAGCAGAGATGTTAAGTAGAGTGCGGGAACTGGATCCCGTCGGAGGAGACTGGTGCATGAGTGGTGACGAGATCACAGTCTGGGTGGATGCGAGTTCCGTGGCGACAGGAGTGGCATTGAAGTAAACGAAAATGTCATCGAAGATGCGTGCTGGCTGCGTCCGACTAATGATGCCAGGCACATTAATTTGGCTGAACTCGATGCGGCGCTTAAAGGGTGAATCTGGCTCTCCAGTGGGAGGCGACAACGTTGCACTTGGTCACTGATTCGGCGTGTGTGCACCGGTGGATTTCAGACACCTTGACCGGGAAGGCACGGGTGAACACAAGGGCGGCTGGTGAGATGCTGGTCAGGCGACGGCTGGGCATTTTGCGATCGTTGGTGGACGAATATGGATTGACCGTAGACGTGACACTTGTGCAGTCCTGTCAGAACCGTGCAGATCGCCTCACCAGAGTACCGCACAGGTGGCTAGAACTGCTCAAGAGAGGAGAACCGGCACTCGAGAGCTGTGCAGTGGCAGGGAGACGACTGGATGAGGACCAGGTTGCCAATACGCATCGTCAATGCGGACATCCGGGCGTGAAACGAACCCTGTACTTCGCCAGGTTAGTCGACCCGCAGGTGTCCAGAGAAAGCGTTAAATCCGTTGTGAAGGCCTGCACAACCTGTCAGTCGATCGATCCGGCACCCGTTCACTGGGAAAGAGGAGAACTGAGCGTGAAGAGCAACTGGAGCAGACTGGCAATGGACATAACTCACTACAATGGTGAGAATTTTTAACACTCATTGATTGCGGTCCCTCCAGGTTCGCGGTATGGCGGCCGCTGCGCAGACAAGACGCGAGCACCGTCATTCGACTGTTGGAGAATGTTTTCCTGGAGCGAGGCCCACCCATGGAAATACTGACGGATAACGATACTGCGTTCACCAGTAAAGATTTTAAAGAATTTGCGGACACTTGGGACGTGCATCTGCGGTTTCGATGTGCCTACTCGCCAAGTGGAAACGGCATCGTGGAGCGGAACCACAGAACCATCAAGACCATCGCAGCCAGGAAGGGCTGCACAGTTTCGGAAGCGGTTTACTGGTATAATGTCGCCCTGAAGGATAACATTTCACCATCCACGGCGCCGGCTGATGCACTGCACAAATATCATGTCCGCGTGAAGGGCATCGAAGCCAACCCGCTGCCTGAACTAGAAGTGACTGGAGGAGATTGAAAAAGGAGACATCGTTTGGGTCAAAAACCCACGCGGCAAGTGTACGACAAAGTACGGCACTGGACGTGTTACGGAGGTTATCAGCCCGCAATCTGTGAGAGTTGATGGGGTGCCTCGTCACATTAAAGACTTGCGACCGGTGACGCAATCACTACCGCTACCGAGCGATGAAAGCGATTCCGAGTCTGGGAGTAGTGAGCGTTCAATCTGCCTTGAGTTAGACCTGCAGGGCAGCGATTCTGATAACAGCAGCCTCCCGGCGGACACAGTGTTTACCGACACTCAAACCACAGACGAGAACACGCACGAGGATGAAGCTTGTGTTATCCCCTTCGGAGAGGGACTCGACGGCGACGATCGCCACCTCCCTGCCCTGTTTGTGATCATGAGATCAGGGGGGAGTGTGGGGAAAATTGTGAAAATGGCCTACCTCGGAAACGCGTTCGAATCTGCGCAGTATGTAAACACTGGTCCTTCCAACTGTAAAAAAGAAAACCAAAATGGCGGCGCCCGCGTTTTATGCCGAGTAGTCTCGGTCAGTTAACGTGAAATCTCGTTGCCTCGTGATTCGCATGCAAATCGTGGTCGGTCCGCAGCTGTATAAAGCAGGCTCGTTTCTGCTGTTTCAAATGAAAGGCTTTCGGCTCGTGAGAAGGTTGGACGTGCGACCCGGTTTTCTTTGTGCCTACCTGCTATCACCAGTTGAATTGTTGAGTTACACACTTCAACTATATATTTTGGCTGGATGAAGCCAATCTTCTCCCAAGATTGCTTCGTGCACACAGGTTCGGTGTTATGTAGAAGTTTTGGGTACTTCTCAGTTTTTCCAATTCTCACATTTTATGAGCCATCCCTTTTATCTCCAGGGGCCACCATCTGCCTGTGTGATTTCTATGTCCATTTCCATCATCCCTTCCTTCTGTTTCACCTGTCTGTATTCTTTCTCAACAATGAAACAGATTTTCTTATTTTCTTTCAGAACCACAGAGAAGAGAAAAAATTTTTGTTTTTATAAGACAGCATTTCTGTTTCTCTTGCATCAACGAAGAGAATTTCCTTGGCCTTCCTTCTCCTGGGTTCCCATCTTCATAGTGTGTTATAAAGTGAATGAATATTAGACCTTTAATATATTCAACAATTTCACGTGTTGTCATAAACATCACATAGATAGGGAGTTATTAGATTTAAATATGAAGAGAGGGGAAATAGATGGGGAACTTGCCCTAAAGATAGATAGATAGCCACATGTCCAACGAGATAGATGATCCTTCTTTTAATAGATCCCTCTTATTTTGGGGTGGATGGGTAGATCCTGGTCCTGTCTTCCAGGTTCAGCCTTCATTAATAATATTGATAGGACACCCTTCTTTATCCTGGGATACACCATGAATAAGCTGGGGTGTCCTTTCATCCCACACCTAGATGAATCTGTCCTGATCAATATGAACAGATTAACTTTGTCAGACAGTCAGATAGCTCTGTGGTCCTACATAGATATATATAAGCAGACTAATGCACAATCTAGTCAGAAATATAGGTGGCCTTATAAAACCCATGCCATTTGTCGAAAAGACCTTTCTTTTGGGATCCTCTTCCCACACCTCAGGCTCCTCTACCTGAACTTTAATGTTTCAAAACAAAATGGGGCTCTTCTCTCCCCCCTTTCTTACCTACTTTCATGGTAACTTTGCCCTGACACCTATTTTGCTGGTTCTTACTTTCTCCCAATTTAAGCATGCTCTCTTTAGCCAGCATTCTGTCCCAACAACCTTTCGGTCCTTCGAAACATTATGTCATGGCTGTCTCTTCTTGTCACTACCTTTATGTCTATATATAAATTGGCCAACACCATTGTTTCTTGCTTCCCTGGCTGTTATAGTCCTTAAAGATTCAAATGTAATGTCGGGTTCCCATTTTCTGATGGGTTTCATCTTCAGTCCTCATCTTTATCCTTTCCTCTCATCACGCCCCTCTTGTTCTGCCTCTTAACCCCTTCAGCAAACTCCTGATGGGGTGAAATAAAAAAAGCCTTTTCTATGATATAGGTAGAAATGGATACAGTATATTTTTAAAGTTTGTGCATAACATATTTTACCTGTGGCGTGTTTATGCAAAAAATATTATTTCTCAGTATGAGAGTTAACGTTGTAGATTAAAAAATTATTATCCAGATGATTAAAAAAAATATTTGGAAAATTTTTGAGTTACCAAATAATTGAACCTAAATGGATACCCAGAATTTCTTCAGGTCTACTGGAAGATGCAATATGAATGTTACCCTATCAAATCATTGACAAGACATATTTAAACATTTCAAAAAAAAAAAACACAATCAGAGCATTTACAATTTGAATTTTTATTTTTTATTAAAATAAAAAAAATGTCTCATCTGACAGAATTGAAGGTCATTCTTCTTTTTCCAGGCTGTCAAACTAAGGGTCTGGAACCATCTGGTTATAATTAAAAAAGTCCTTTGGTTAAATCTTCTTTTCCATTTGTCTAATTGACCATACAGTCACAAAGCAAAATTTTCGAATGTTCCTGTTTAAAGTGGAAAATAAAAAAGGGACGAATCCTGGTCATCAGCACCAAAACTGACTCAGCCGCAATCAATGGCCAACTCCCTGTGATGTGAGTTCAAACTTGTTAAAACAATTTTTTTTTGGCATTTATAAAACTCTTAAAAACTGCCACCAGCATAATAAAATGAATTGAAGTGGTTGTAGAGACAACTGTGTTTTCCTTGCCCTTCAGGATACCAATATGGATCTCGAATTCAGTGGTTTTTGATGTTATATGGCTTCACCAGCTGTACCGGTTCAATACCAGCATGCTATTGTTGGGATAGGGTGTGATGGAACGTCTGGTTAACAGATTAACCTTTAATCTCAAGTCTAATCGGTAGTGGGGGATGTTGATCCACTTTGATCTTATGTCGGGAGGGACAAGATCAATCCAGGCGGAAGGCATCAAATCAGTGGTCCAGCTGTGAGTTCAGATTGGGGTGGTATTCAATCAAAGAGTGAAATGAAAAAAAAAAAAATAATTTGAATAAAGGGTTTAACAGGTTTTTATATGTTTTTACATATTTAAGAATTTTCTTTTAGCCATTTGTTATATACAGGCTCTGTGTGCCCCCCCAACCTGAGTCTTCTCATACAAAATGTGAGTTGGCCTATGTTTCAAGCAAACATCATCATCATATGTCAACTAATTTAGTTCTTAGGTTTTGGCTTTACCTCAATTAGTATTCATCCTTTCTACTAGATTGACAACTTGGAGGTGGAATTTTACTGTTGATCTAGCAAGGACACTCTAGTACCAGAATCCAACTGCAACTGCCCAACTGAATTGCAAATATTCTCGAACTGGGGACGTTTGTTTATATGTGTTTTACTTAAAAACTCAGTGATATGGGGCCAGGCACCATCTTGGTTTCTCAGATGAATCTTGATTCCCAACAAGAATTCTCTTTGTTTCAGGCCTGGAAAATTGATTACTTCCCATTTTTGGAAAATTAATCTGATTTCCATTTCCAGGGCATCTCCTTCAAAATTTAGTCAATCGCTATCTTCTGTCTTGTCTTCTGTTCATTTATTGTTCTCCTTCCTTTCGTCATCCATTCATAATCTTCTTCATCCCAGTGACATTACCACCATGGGATGAACCGAGAAAATGAAATCTGTAGTTGTGTTCTTTGTTGTATGAACATGCCATGTAAAACTATAATCTAGAATTTTTTCATTTTCAGAATTCACTAAAAATTTCTATTGTACAAACTTGGCGGAACCCAAAAATTCACTTAATGTTCCCTCTATACCAGAGCAATTAATCACTTCTGAAAAGTTTGCCATCCAGATGAAACACATTCTGGAATGTTAGTTTTAAAATCGAATCCTTAACAATTAAAAATTAAATTCTTTTATCTCCACCAAATCTCAAATTCCTCAAAATGATTTTTTTTCTCAGATCCATGTTCAATTAAATCTCTGTCTGAAGTCATGTTGATATACAAATAAAATGATTTATTGCCTTTTTTTTCTCAACCAGTTTTCTTCAGGAGATTATGGCTTTTTAATTTATAATTGCATTTCAATAATTAAAAATAAAACATATTTGGAAAGTTAATATTGATTTTCCAAATTTATCACAATCATCTCAGGATAAATTTTTTATGACCGTCATGTGGTTTGGTAAAAATCTTAAATGCTATTTTTTCAATAAAATTCCTGTTTCATTTAAGACATTCAATTCACAATAAATTAATTTTTTGCAAGCTTTTATTGAGATGGCTTTTTCCATGAGTTTAGATTCCTTTTCTGAAAACCAATCTTTTTGCAAAATAAAATAAAATTTAAATTTTCGGTTTTAATAGTCTAACCTTTCAATCAAATTCTTTTAATTAAGTCTTTTGTTTTTCATTATATGATTAAGTGGGAATTGGGCCAATTTTAAAGCTAAATAATTATTTTGTCCCTTGACTGAAACCAGTGATTTCATATTTTGGACAATTTTCAGAAATTTAATTTTGTTAATGATAAAATTAAAATAAACAGACATTAAAACCATGGTTACTGTTTTCAGAATTAATTAAAGAATTACAGGAAAGGTATAAATTATTTTCAAATCTTGGCAATATTTTTGTTTTTACGTACAAACCAAAAAGTGTTTTTAGAGAACTTTCAAAATTCACCATACTATCAGGTTTGTATTTTTCCTCAGTAATTTTCATATTGTTTACAAAAGTGAATTTTAGAATTTTAATAAAATAAAGAACTCGGTAAGATTCATTTTTTTTTTGAAATTTAACATTAAATAAATATGTGTAATTAACAGTGTAATTGAGTTGAGGATTAGTCAATTCTTAATGAGATAAATGAAGAAAAAATTCAGTAGCAAAGGATTATGGCAAAAAAAGTGAAATTAGTATAGGGATTGTGATAATTTAAAGAACAAATAAAGCTTAGATTGAAAGAGTCTTTCAAAGAGATGAACATTCATGGCATTTTTGTCAAGTCTGCCTTTGAAATGAAAACTTGGGACTGTTATTGTATACTAATTTTTCTTCTGTTTTGCTTGGATTTTACAATAATCAATGGAGAACAAATTTATGAAATGTTTAAAAAATCAAATTTTGATAGAATTTATATCTAAGAGATGTCAATTATTTACATTATTCAGACTATTGTCCTCATCTTTGTCGCCATATTTATTACAACGTTTTGGCAGTTGTATGCTCCAGCCTTCTTCAGGTGGTTGGAATGTTGAACTTAACCCTTTATTTCAATCACTGGGGTAGACTGTTCTAGTTCCACGTGCCATGTTTGATGGATGTCAGTTATCAGTTATCTTTTGTTAATTTTCCCTCTGAAAGTTCTCCATTGCCTTAACCAGGAATTGAACTCACCTTCTTTGGGTCCTGTCACTGGATCTAACCAACACCTTTATCCACTGTGCCATGTGTCCTTGAGGACATCTGGGTATGTGTATTATAAACCTAATGTTTTCAACCATTTTTACCAGTGCTCATATTGCAATTTTTGCTGTTATCATTTCATGTTTTTACCAGAGTCCATATTGCAACTTTTTTGTTATCATTGCTTTTTTTCTGGCACTCCTTATTACTGGTTCCCATATTGTATTTATTTCTATGTTTGGTTGGCTCAGGAGATTTTTTGTGGCCTAGCATATGTGCTGATTCCTTAAGTTTACGAATTTTCCAATGGTGTTCCTTGTCTATGATCTCAACATGATCCCACAGGGGGCGGTGATCTCCCTTCTCTCTCCATATGTAAATACTGTACATAATACCTCATCTCAGAAATATAGACAAACTCTGAAGAGATGTCAAGTGTGAACATTCAAGGGACATTGTTTTAGATGTCAAGTTCATCATATGGTTATGAATTATAAAGAAACTAAGTCTGATTTCACTGAGTAGGTCATTAACTATCTATTATAGTCAGGAAAATGATCAAATGAACAGTCACCTGGAAAGGTGGAGATTATTTTCATTGGCAGAAGGAGTTCAGGTAAGTGTAATTATAAGGGTACAATCAAAGAGTGGGTAATATTAAATTGTTGGGAAGTAAGTCCTAGCTTATTTCTTATAAAATTGATAATAAGGATTTGCTTGAAAGCAATGGACAGTCAAATGGTTATGAAAGGGAGATCATCATTCTGAGGATAACTGTGGCATGTGATCACAGAATGGAAAGACATTGCAAGAGTGAAAACAACATAGCCTACCAATGGCTTCATGTAAGATAT